ACGTTGTTTTCTCCCACCTTCGAACGCACCTGGCGCAGAACTACGTCCAGGTTCATTCTCCCCTTTTCTTTTTGTTGTTGCTGCCCTCTTCCTCACGTACCAGCAAATCTACTCACTAATATCAGGAACTAACCCCATAATCCGACTTGCAGCTACTAAAAACCCCCWTTTAGCATCCTCCCTTGCCCAAATCCACCCAATAACGAGTGAAAAAAACTCTTCCTCTTCTTTTCATTTTTGCTTCCTCCATAGCTCCGCGCTGCCTCTGATGCTTGCCCCGATCAATCTGCTAGCTTAACACCAAAACAGACACTCCCATCACATTCGCCTTGCCCCAAAACCCCATGATCTACGTTTGATTCGCCTGATTTCGTTCAGGAGTGAGCGAACTAGATCATTTTCAATTTTCTTCTCCCCCTTTCTTCTCCATCCCCGTCTTTATCTTCGTCCTCTTCACTTCCTCCTCATTCTCCCTCCTCGCTGACCCTGCTCCTAACGCAGCCCACCGTTTCTGATTGCTACCAATGGGAGAAACCGCAATCCCTCCATAAAAAAATTGCAGGCGATACTCCCACCTTTTTATACTCTCCTACCCACACTACTCCAGCCTCGTGGCACTCTATGCCTCTCCTTATTCTAACGAATCCGGACTACCCCTTAGTCCCCAATCGTGCTGAAGGTTATGTAACAAAAATTGAATGTCTGGACTGAGGGTATATTCGCAAGAGTGTTATATTTACAAAATTTGAATGAATGTGGCGGCCATCACGTCTGGAGCTTAGTACCAAAAACAACAAAAAAAACAGGGTCGTAGTGCTTTGCTCCCCTGTTTCAGCCGAGCTCCAACTCAGGCCTGTACTTCAGCAGCTCGACATGTACCAACTGAACTAAGCCTATTGATACCCTTGCCAACCCCAGAACCAGCACCTGGGCTGTGTCCCAACCTGGGACAAAAGGGTATATATGTAACGAACAAATAGAAAAATAATAAAATAGACAATAAAATAAAACAGCCAAACGGGGAGCGGTTTTATGTGACCAGCGGTATACGGCCTCTGCGCTGGTGCCTGCTGGTCCTCACCCTGCCAGTTACAGTTCACTGTCTCACGGTTCCCTGCAGGTAGGCTCACATTCATACCTCTCATTGCTCGCCGCAGGCTGAGCTTAGCGGGCGGTGCATCCTCTGGCCACAACTGCCCAGGTCTGTTCCACCACGTCGCGGATCCTAAAGGTAAAAGCAGATGTTCACATGGGAACTGCCAAAGGCCGACGTGGGGAGTGGTCCAATGTGACCGGCCGCTGCAGCCTGCGGCCCCCCTCCGCCCCGGCATAGTTCACTGTCTTTCTGGTCCCCACGCCACGCTCGTACTGCGACCCCGAACCTGCAAAATATGTGGATTTTGAGGTCGGCTAAATTGAGGTCTTTCACATGGTTTGGATCATACGCTGCACCTTTTCCAGTGGGACGCTGCCCTGGCCGTCTGCAGCAAAACAAAACAACCTGGTCCTTTGCTGCCCACACAGCACCTCCCTCACAAGGTTCTAAAATATATATATATTTATTATTTTATTGATGTCCCGAAGGTCCATAGAAAAAACCACAATGAGGCTGCATAAAACCAGCTCCACGGTGGGATCGGTATTTCAGCAGTTCAATGGAGTACCCACCGAGCTGGGCTCTTGAGCTCCAGCCGGCCCCATAGACCAGTGCCGGCCCCCGTCCCGAATGGGAAACATAAAAAAAAATATTAGTCAAATTTTAGAAATAGAAGTTAAAAACACGGATAGGGGAGGAGAACCGTTAGTACTTAGTCTTCAGTCCAACCTCCCGGGCCCGCGGCCGGGTCCCCTCAGCAAAAGTAAAAGGGATAGTCCCGTGGGACTCTCAACCCCTCAGTTCACTCCCAAGTACGCTCCTCCGCTGCCCCAATGCTGGCTGCTGGCCTCGATTCCGGAATCCGCCTGGTGAAAACTCAGTGATGTAACCTATAGGGCTAAGCCCAAGCTTGAACTGGGTGCGGGCTACCCTGTATATGAATTGCATGGTCAACCAGCCTAGGCCTGCAGGTGGTGCCCCAGGCCGTTTCTTGGCCTGTCCTTCAGCCCCGTGACCCTGCGCTCGTGTCGTGCTGGCCTATCCCCTCCACCCTGGCCTTGTGGGGTCGTGCTTTGCTATCTCGAAGGTAGGTGTCGCCCAACTCACAGCGTACGTTGCCTCTACGTGCCGTGATTGCGGCATGTGGCCTTCATAGCCTGCCGCAGCCGACTTTCTATCGCCGCCTTGCCGGAAAAACCACGACACTTGTCTCCACTAGACTCCGTTCGCATTGCCTTCCCTCTCACTCCTCCGATGGCTCCGACCTCTGGCTAGTATTCAGCTGAGCTCTAGTGTTCACACCTTCCTTACTGTGTAGTCTCAAAGGCGCCGTTTTTCAGCGAGTCAACGAAACCTCACCACCGTAAACCTACTGACCAGCTCCATGCCGACTGTGACTTCGTTGGTGACCGCAGGACAATGGTCCACGCGGCTTGGTCAAAAAATTCCCACGGCTGCCGACGGCTAGCTACTTACGCACGCCCACAAAGTGCATGCTCACACACTCTCTAATCAAGCTATGCCTGCGTCTGTCGCGCCCGACCTCCAAGAGTCAGTTGGGGCTGGCCGACCTATATGCCATCTTCTCAAGTATCATCGTGATCGCACCTTCTGCGAGGTGCACGAAGCACGCACAATTACCCTTGTAAGGGTAATGGTGCCGACAACGTAGGGAAAGGGGAGAGGTGAAGTCAGATAGGGTATGGAAGAAGATAGAAGGTAGAAACTCGTGTGTGAAGAAGGGCAGTAGGAAGGTCAATAGAAGGTTAGAATTCTTTTCGATTTGTCTCACTTGACAGACGAAGCCAGCTTGTCTTCCCTTGGCCGCTATTGCAGTTTCTTTCACCCTTACTACTCGTAGCCCCCGACGTCGTCGAAAAACCGCCTTGTCGAGAACCGCCCTTATTGCATCTGTCGCGCCCGTCCTTCGACAAAAGAAGGGCGTACTTTTTCCAAGTTTGTCCAAGTTTATCGTTCCTCCTCGTTTCTCTTCGGTGAGATTCCCAAAACTCCAAAGCCCGAAGTTTACTTTCCTTTTTAGGGTCTCTTTTTAGGGTCTCTCCCCTTTCTGCGTAGTTGTCCCGAAGTCTTTCTTTTTTGCTTACTCTCTTACTTCCTCCCCTCGCCTTCCTCGTAGAGGAATCCAGATTCTGTGGGCGCTATCCCACCGTTCCCAACGAGCGGCTGGATAGCATCCCCCTACTGTTCCTCTTCGTTATTCTCCAGAGGATTGTTTGTCGCTTTCTGCCTTGTCGTCCTTGCAGGTCTTTGTTTTGTTGCCTTGTCTCTCCCTCCTTAGCTCCCTTTCGCTCCCGAAGTAGTGAATATTTCGCTCCCGAAGTCGTGAATATCTTTCTCCCTGGGATCGGGCAGATTCTAACCGTGGAGGCGGCTAGATTCAGACCGAATCTAGCTTTCGCCCTGAAATACAGCTACAGGGATCGGGCAGATTCTGACCGTGGAGTCGGTTGACATACGTGGCTAGCACATGTAGGTAGCAGCCGTAGAGGAGACTATAGACTATATCACAGCCATATCCTAACCAGGCATATCCAACCGTATATTTGATGTAATGGACGGTTGGATAGCAACTTCAGAGCGATCTTCAAATGCAGCTAATCTACACCCGCCTATGCGCTAGTCAGCGCAACAGACCACGTGGCACAGCTCCCCGCGCACGTGCGTAGGCAGCTGGGCGTACCGCTCGTGGCGTTGCCCCGCGCGGCGGCGCGGCATGAAAATTAGCGCTGCGATGCGCTGCGTTAGCGCTTACCGGTGGAAAGAAGAAGAAGTGATTGTATGGAAGTATCCTGATGGGAAAATACCGGAACTGGATGATCTTCATGAAAGGCATGGAGTGGTTTTCAACTTCTCCCGCAATGGAGCAGATCTCATGCCAGCAGAGAAGAGAAAATGGATTATAGAAACAATAAAAAAGGAGGCTAAACTCAAACACGTTGGGGAGGCCTTTTCTCTGCAGATTTTGGGTCGTAACAACATCATGGTGCTCTTCAACAATGAAGACCACGCACGRATCGCAGYAGAAATGCAGTCCAGGAACTGTAAYGGATCGATCTGTATGATAACCAAATGGAAAAAACTRACTGCTCAGAGGCAAAATCCAACCTTCGCGGTTTCCTACAAACAGACATTGATGAAAGAGAATTTTTGGGTTCAGTTCGACAACATCCAACCGGGATTCCATGGTCTGTTGGTGGACAGATTGGAGAGACATTATCCAGCAAACAAAATCCTCAAGTGGATTCTGCCGACTCCAGACTTTCTAGCACCTCACTGTGGATCTATGACGGCTCTACTAGAAGTCAAGACGGACGACCCCCCTGTTTTCCCATTCACATGGAAATTCCAGATCGGGAGCAGGGTCCTGGAAGTTAAAGTCTCCACCAAGACCTCTCCGATCTGCTTCAGATGCAGAGAACGCGGGCATATGGGAACGGATCCGAATTGCCCGAAGTTTCCAAAACAGTCAAAGGAACGGAAACTCCATCCAACATGCTCGTGGAAGTTGAGGATGCCCCAGGCACTTGGTTCATCGTAGATTCTAACTACGATGGCTGGGTTTTTTATGACAATTTGGATGACCCAGATTGGGTGTGGCACTACGCTGATCAGGAACCCTCAGTGAAAAAACCCAACATCTTCCCCCCTGCAGATAGCAGATGGCAGAAGAAAGCAACAGGYAAAGTGACAGGGAATCCAACGAAGATAAATACCAACCCTTTGATTGATTCACGTGTGGTTAGAGAGGAAAAAGCCAGGGAAGACCTGCTGTGGGACTTGGACGCAATCCGGGAACAGGCAGAGCAGGAATACAGCAAGGAACCAGCAACATTCCAGTAATTGCTGAGACAGGTGGAACGTGAGGATCAAGAGGTGAGGGCCAAGACGCTAGCAGATAATAAACGAACGCTGGACAAAGCAAACTCTCAAAAGATAACAGAGGGGGGTCTCAAGAAGAGGAAGGCAATGGAAGGAGATGACAAAGATGGGACACAGCAGACCCAGCCAAAAGAGGGAAAGGGAATAACAGTTGCTGATTCTCTCGAGGACGGGAACAAAGCAAGCAGTGAAGGGTCGCAGGGAACAGCTGGGGACGGTTCATCTGAGCCCCAGTCCGAGTCCCAGCGTTCTCTTCACTGGTTGAGGGAATATATCGAGAAGGCCAAGAGGGAGAGAGAGCATGCGTTTGACATCAGAGCAGCCTGTCTTAAGCACATCGAGAGACCCCAGAAAAATGGGAAGAGCGGGACAATTGCTGGTATTGAGAGGTCAAAAAATCAGTACGATGCATTGAAGAAAGAAAAGGCAGAGGAGTTTTCGGAATACACTGCTTTCAGATATGCAGAGAAAAAGAGGGCAAGAGAACAAGGGGTAGCTGACAAAGACAAGACAGTACTCAACAACGAAGACCACTTTCAGGATTTGCGCCCAAAAAAATGGAAGACAGGAAAAAATCAGAAGAAAAAGGAACCAAATTCATACCAAACAGAAGCAGAAGAGGAATCAGCACGCTCACTGCTGGAAAAAGAAGTGGCTGTGGTGGTGGCCCAGACAGAAAAATTAATAAAACGGAACGCAGAGTACACACCTGAGTTCACGACCATTCAGCACATCGCCAACGGGGAGGCACCACATGTGGTGGCCTCAGCCAAATCGGCACGACTGACATTGATGGACACCCATCCTTTGATTGCGGCCAGATACGTACACAAAGAGGGAGAATGGCAGATCGCCACAGATGTGTCCTTCACAATCCCAAGGATTGAGGAAGGACAGAACGTTGCCAACATACTTCAGGAAAAGGTAACAGAGGGGTACCCACTTGGCATGTACGAAACAGTTGCGCTGGATGATGGTCAGGAGGACAGTTCGTCCCAAGCAGGCCAAGAGGACCTGCAGGACCATCAGATGGACACAGAGAGACACTCCCCTCGCGCTTTCTCCCCGTTGATCGCTAAAATGTCAGAGGAAACCAAACTGATGTGGAGACCATGGAGAACAGTCACAGCGATTCCTTACAGCGTGTTGGCGGGACCCGGCATTCCAACGGAACTGCTGGCGGTCTCGGTGGCACAACTCTTGACTCGTGAGATTCTGGAGGGAGACTGCAACCTGGACTCCAAGGCTTTTGCTATCGATTTGGACAGGTACTACAGAAGTGATTGCTTTGAGGGTGAGTTGGAGGACTGGAAAGACGAGGAAGCGGGAGCAGGTTCTGATCCGGTCCTCGGCACGGGACAGGGAACGGGACAGGGAACCAGCGGAAGTATAGGGGAATATAAGATGGATGACTCTATCACCACACCGCTTCAGGACGCGCCAGGGGAGGCCTCGACGGAAATGGATGTGAGCGACCAGCCCCCCTCCTAGGATGTTTTCGCCATGACAGCATCCATCCCCTTCTCTCATTGCCTCAATGATGGACAATTTTATAAAAGGGGCAAACGCAAGACAAGATCGGGTGGATTGGAAGACACAAGGGATAGTTATTAGGAGCTGGAATGTCAATGGGCTTGGAAATATAATTGACAAAGAAGAAAAAATGAATGATATAATTAAAGGACTTACCGTGCACACTAATAAATTGGCAGACATCATATTGTTGCAGGAAACTCACTTAACGTTCTCAGCAGAACACAACAGAACACGAAAACTTCTATCTAGGAAACTTGGAGGAATAAAGGACGAAGTGTGGTCCTCAGACAACGCATTAAGCACGAAAGGAACAACTATTCTCGTACCTAAATCCTCCCGGCTATACACGGCAGGGTCGATAGTGGGGAAAGAGGCAGATATGGTAGAGGGCAGATGGTGCCTTATGGACATTAAGTGGAAGGAGGAAGAAGTCAGAATAATTAATGTCTATGCACCAAACGTTTCTTCAGATAGATCAACATTTATAACAAACATAAGCCATATGATCCCCCCTCTGACAGACTGCACGAAACAATAGACCCGGTCACGGACCGTATATCTAGATCCTCGACAGGTCGGACTACACAGGAGGCGGTACCCATACAAAAGTTGATGATGGACTACAATCTGGTTGAACCATACCGGACCTTGCATCCGGGGACGAAAGCCTTCACATTACTGAAGAAGAACCACGCCCATCATGCGACATTCTCCTTCATTGACTATTTCCTCATCTCAGGGACACTCTTGGGGACAGCCAAAAGCGCTGACATTCTGCCCCTCGCACCGTACTCGGGTCTAGACCATAAACCCATCGAACTCATAATCAGTTTCAAACAGTATATCAAAAAGGGGTTCAACTTCCACAAACTCAATAACTCTCTCCTACTGAGCCAGATTTTTCAGGGAGGAGTTAAGGAGTGTTGGCAGAATCTGAAGGGCGCCTATTTACCCATACAAGATCGGTGGAATTGGTTCCAGGAAAGCTACTCTGCTTTATCACAAACGGTGGCTAGAATCTCAAGGAACTTAGCGTCCGATAGGAAACAAAGGAAACAAGCGTTGGAGACTGCCTTGAAGATTGCAGAGAYTMATCTTATTGATAATCCCTCATCTGTACTTTACACAGACATTTTTGAAAAAGCGAGAGAGGAACTTACCATGTGGAGATGGTGGGAACTAAAGGGACTTCAAATAAGAGCCAGAATGACCGAATATGAGCTGAGTGAGTCCATGTCGAAACACTTCTTCGCAAGAATCAAAGCAAACTCCAGAGCTAACGCGATAGAAGGGTTGAACACCCTCTCAAATCCAACTGAAACCGTCACAAATAGCGAAGGGATGTTGAACATAGCCAAGGAATTCTATGAAGAGCTCTATCACACTAAGACCCCTCTATGCCTACTCCGCCAAGCACCAGAGAAGCACGAACTAGGATGCTGCAATACCTGGAACGGGCGATATCTCAGGAACAAGCAGAAGCCCTGGATAAGCCCATCACCATTGAGGAATTGCATTTTGCAGTCCAAAATATGAATAATAACAAGTCCCCAGGAATCGACGGCCTGACAAAAGAATTTTGGGTAAAGTTCTGGCCACTCTTAGGGGGTGATCTGATAAAGCACAAAGGGGGATTGGGAAACCTATTGAGTAGCAGTGTGGTCACTTTGCTATACAAAAAAGGGGAAAGAGAAGACATCAGGAATTATAGACCCATCTCGCTCCTAACGCTTCCCTACAAGATCTTAGCCAAAACTCTAGCCTTTCGAATCCTGGATCTGACGGACAAATGCTTCCATATAGATCAAACAGGCTTTATCCCTAGGAGATACATTCTAGACAACGTACTAACCCTCAGCGAAGCGGCCAATAAAGTCAGAGAAAAAAGGATAAACGCAGCAATTCTTTTCTTTGATTTTGAAAAGGCTTATGACCAGGTCAACTGGGCCTTTCTCAATGCAAGCATGGAAAAGATGGGAGTGGGCCCGAATTTTAGAAAGTGGGTGTGAATCCTATGTAATGATGCCATAGGGTGTGTTCAAGTCAATGGTCTGCTTTCAGACTGCTATCCAATATCTCGGTCAGTTCGACAAGGGGACCCACTAGCTCCCCCAATCTTCCTCTTCGTGATGGAAGCAATTGCGTCATTCCTACACAAAGACCCATCCATTCACAGAGTACCAGAGGTTAATGTAGGCACAGCCCACCACTTAAAGTTCCCAACAGTAATAATGTTCGCTGACGACCTCACGGTCCTCATAAGAGCTTCAGACTCGTCGTTCAGTGCGCTAGTAAGAGCAATGGAGGCATTCAGACTGGCATCAGAAATGAAGATTAATTGGAAAAAGACAATTGGATGGTGGCTATCAGGGGAAGACGCTCCCCAACTTCAAGGCCCGGAGGCAGAAATGACACGGGAGTCACCACAGACTCCTACGAGGTATTTAGGCATCTTGTTGACGAAGGACGGCTTTGCCCCTCAGATGGCTCAAAATGTACTAGTAAAACAAATTAACAAACTGGGTAGGTGGGGCAACACATTCACATCGTTGCTTGGTCGGGCACTAGCAATCAACACATCGATTTTCTCAATGATGTGGTATATTGCATCAATTTGGACTGTTCCAGATCATTCAATCAAGGAACTTAACCGTAAAGCCAGGGCCTACTTGTGGTCGGGCGACCCCAACAAAGAGAACTGCATACCAAAGATGGCTTGGCACTACATCACAAGGAAACCAGCCAAAGGAGGCCTAGGTATCATAGACCCCAAACAGGAAACCAAAGCCTTACAAGTTAAATGGGTGATCAAACTACTGACAAAACCAGGCACGACGTGGAATAAACTGGCTTTGGATAGCATCAGGGGCCTAGCACCAATATCCACGCCAGCAAGCATGTCTGGTCTGTTCTGGGTAATGTCCAAAGATTGGATTCTGTATACAGGACGCAGAAATCAACGAAGAGGAACTGACCCAAACGTAGCCAGGCCTCCTGTACCCTATTGGACTGCACTGCTACGCACATGGCGGCACATGGCGGGAAGTCATGCCGAAAAAGGTGGGTAAACCCAAATCCAAAGACGAAGTTCTGAGGCAACCTCTGTTTAGTAATCCGTGGGTTAGAGACGAAGGTGACCACCAATTATCCCTTAACCCTAGAGGAAG